AGTGACTAAGCATTTTGTGTTATTTAAATGTATTTAATATTTATTGCTGGCAATAATATGTGAACAATTCATAATAAATGTGAATATTGAAAAAATTGTTTCTTTTTTTAAATTGTTTATATAATTTAAACCTTTTTATATAAAGGTTTAACAGGGGTGTTTCAACCAATAAATGCTCGACAAAACTTTACTGTAATTATTTATTAGTTCAACCAGTGCCGGTTTAACAGGGGTTTTTTGGGGACTATAGCACCGGGCGGTAAATATTTTTGGGGCGGTACCGCGTACCGCCCATAATTTAAAAAAAATACTTAATCGTTAGAATTTAGACAAAAAATTATTGCGACACTGCGTCGGCGGATACAACGGATACAAATGAAAAAAATGTTGTTAGAGTTGAACCAGCTTCCCCATCAGAAAAACTTGATTTATTGGAAACGGAATAATTTTAACTTTTTGGATACCTAGACGTTTTGCAAAGGGTTAATGAAACCAATAAAGCAGTCCAAAAACAAAATATGGATTTAAGCACATGTGCTCATCTTTTGTGATTTTTAGTTGAGAACTTTGATTTTTTACGTGATCATTTTGATCATTACGAGGAAATTAACAGGAAACGAAAATTATGCTCAGAAGCGGATAATCATAAGAAAATTCCAATTTGAAGAAAATAATTCAGAGGCAAGTTTAAGCAAAAAAGAAACAATGCGAACAATATGTTTTATTTTAATAATTGACAATCTATAATCCGAAATCATTTGTCGATATGATAGCTAGAAATCTGGCACAAACAAATTTGAATTTTTGTTTAATCTAAAAGCATAAATCTTCGTGGAGGGTTTGGATGAGTTTTTTCCTCAAAAATGTGTCAAACTCAAGAAACCTTTCGGAAATAAAAATAAAAACTCCATTGGAATTAGTATAAGTTTTATACGAAAATAAATTAATATCTTCATTTCCAAATATTAATATTTGTCTGCGAATTTTTTTTTATAATGGTTTCAAATGCAAGTGGTGAACGATCTTTCTCTACTCTAAAAAGGGTAAAGAACTACCTAAGAAATACAATTCCCCAAGAAAGATTCAACTCCTTAGCAATTCTGTCCTGCTAGATGAAATAAATGTAAAGTGTTATAAAACAATTTGATAGGTACTATAAAGACTTGAAAACAACCTTTTAATTATTAGTATTAGGATTTCTCAATATTTATTTAAACCAAAGAATAATGTTTTATTTATTTATAACTTTTCATTAGTTTTTATTAGTTTAATGAAACAAAATATTTAACTTTTATTTTTTAATTAGTTTTTCTTAGTATTGTTTATATAAACCAAATAATGTTTTATTTTTTAGTTAGTGCTTTTGATTAGTTTTTATAATTTGTTTATAAAGGCTCATTTTATATTTTATAGGATACTAAGTTGACTGTTAGATACCAGCCTAAGACTTAAAAATTTAAAAATGTTTTTAAAAAAGTAATATTTTAAAGCATTGGGCGTTGTGTTTGTGCCAGAACCGGGCGGCGAACTAACTTAAACCGGCACTGAGTTCAACTCGACTTAAATCGGAAATTTCCTGCCGTGGAAAATTTAAATTTGTTTAATAAAGGTTAAAAAACGTGTCTAACAGTTTCATGAAACCACGTCATTTAAATTTTGTATACCTACAGCCATTCTTATTATTTTAACCTATATTCTTTATTTTGTCATAAATATCTTTTTTTCTTTAAATATTGTATTTTTTTACATTCCACGCTTAACGGATATGACAGTTGCCGTGTTTTTATTTACAAAATAATATTGTTCTATTATATTACCAATGTCAAATTTTTATAAATAGTTTTAAACAAAAGCTGTTTAACAAGGTTTTTATTTGGCAAAATTAGGTATCGTGATTGACTGTTTAATTCCTTAAAAATTAATAACCTTTTATCTAAGACATTTTTCTGTGAAATGCGTATTTCTCGAGATATTGAGCTGTCTCAAGTTAAAAGAAACACCCTGTATATATATATAATATATATCTTGTGCCGAATACCGTGGATAACATTTTATTGGATCGCATTTTAAAAAAATTACGTGATCTGAAAAAACGCCGAGACACGGCTAGGTATTATTTTTTTAAGTATATTTTCAAAATCTATAGGAGTTTTACATGGGAGGGAAACAAAATCAAATTTTGTCGTATAATAGTTATTTGTTTTGTTAAGTGTTGAAAAGCGACTTTTTCATACGAGTGTTTAAGTTGCTCATGAGGCCGTCAGGCCGAGTGTGCATTAACACGAGCTTAAAGAAATCTTTTTTCACAAGTGAATTCAGAAAACACAATGTTTTTCTACGACCCTTTTATTTTTTATTACATTTAAATACAAAATATACGAAATAATCTAAAAACGTGTTTGACAGCTGTTAAAATTACTTTCATCTTGTCCTTTTAATTTTTAAGGTATAATTAACTTAAGTTACTTACTTAAAATCATCACTAAAAATTAGAATTTACTCTAGAACACACAATTAATTGTGTTCTAAATGAACCTTAGACATATCAAATAGGTACAATATAATGTTTGAAACGAATAGCTGGCCATACACAGACGTTATTGCGCGCGGTTTATCGTGTTATCTGCAAAAACATATGGAAAATCATGTACGTGAGTGAGTATAGCCGCGCGAAATGATAGAACGGGAAGGGATTTCAGACGTGCTTTTCTCTGGAGTGTGGCGTGTCCACACGCCACATTCCGCGTCACGGTTTACCTTTGCTTGGCAAAATTTCACGTTGAAAATTTGTACATGATCACATGCAGTCTAAACGACTCGATAAATGACACTTTTTGCCCACTCACATACGATTTTTCCTTTGAAACTGATATACCACGGGCAATCACTTGCTAAATCATTTGAATACTTTATCAAGTGTATGGAACATGACGCTTTTTTTGCCACGCCGTTCTTTCGTGCATACTAACCGCTACATCCCAAACGCCACGATAAACCGCGCGAAATAACGTCTGTGTATGGCCAGCTAATGTCAAACGATGCTGTCAATTTCTTTTCACACAGACCTGTCACTTTTCACACAGAAATGTCACTTTACATTCGTGTTTTGCCTTGCCAATGAAAAGATTCATTTTCTAAGCTAAGATGCATCTTTGCTTAGAAAATGCATGCCATTACGAAATGTGACTTTTACATAGTGGTCGTAGAAAATAGTTATTTGTTTTACAAGTGTTGAAAAGCGACTTTTTCATGCAAGTGCTTAAGTTGCTCACGAGGCCTTCAGGCCGACTGTGCATTAAAACGAGCAAAAACGAGAAAGCTTTTCTCAGAAGTAAAACACAATGTTTTTTCTACGACCCTTTTATTATATTCAAATACAAAACAAAATAACCTAAAACCGTGTTTGACAGCTGTTAAAATTCTTTCATCTTTTAATTTTTAAGGTATAACTTAAGTTACTTAAAATCAATAAACTTACCTTCTCAATTTAAATAAAGGCACTAAAAACTAGAATTTATTATACAAACACAATTAATTGTATTCTAATAGTTATTTATGTCATTAGGTTAAGAAGTAAGGCTTTTTGTGCTAAGCTCAAAGTTTGAAGGCCGACGCGTAGCGGAGGCCTACAATTGAGCGAAGCACAAAAAGACACTTCTTGGCCGAATGGCATACAACATTTTATCTTCAAAGCACTTTATATAGGTCAATTTAATTCAACATGAAATCGGCCTAACCTCACTTTTTTGAATCTCATTTATTTATTAGCTAAAGATAACATTAAATGTACAATAATTATTATTGCTTTTAGAAGCAGTAATAGTTTGACAATACCTAGCTACATGATTTAAGTATAAATGGATTTTTGTAAGAAAATGGTTTACTTACCCTCTTGCTATTACATTGAATTCAATTAATTGTTTAATAAATAGGTATCTAATTTCAATTTGTTTGCATTTTTATTAAAAAAATAGGTAGTTTGGAATGTTTACGCTGTGTTTAAGATTTAATTTTACTGAAAACTTAAAGCAAATTAAAATTTAAAGATAATTTAAATCGTAGAAAAAGAAAACACAACTGTGAAACGTCAAATTGCAATGTCCTAACCTCAATTTTTGTTTTATTATTCATATTTAATTTTACAATAATTTAATGAAAAATATTAAACATTATAATGTTATAACAGTAAAACAAACAAATTAGTGCTTATTATAAATAAATTAAACCAGTTTAGTACGTTAATTTCTTAGAAAAGGATTAATTTGTCAAAACAATACCCCTAGCGAGAAAAAATCGAACTAATTACTTGCCTCATAAAAATTTTTATCGGCCTAGGCCTTAACAAGGTATTTCTTTATCGAATTTTGACAACAATAAAGTTTAAATTATATACCGCGTGGAGATAAATGATATTTAGACATACATACATAAATACAATACAAATTTTGAAACGAATGTCAAACGATGCTGTCAATTTCTTTTCACACAGACCTGTCACTTTTCACACAGAAATGTCACTTTACATTCGTGTTTTGCCTTGCCAATGAAAAGATTCATTTTCTAAGCAACGATGCCAAATTGGCATTGCCAATACGAAATGTGACTTTTACATAGTGGTTGTAGAAAAAACTTATTTCTGTGCAATATTTGGCGCCAAGATTTGAATTCGGTTGTAGATCTTCGTTTGTTCTCGATAACGATCGTCGTAGAATTATGACGTTTGACGTTTTGCTGTATACAGCAAAATAAAAGTAAATAAAAGACTATTGTTGCTGATAACAATAAATTCCATGATATCTTATATTTAAAGAAGTCACACCTGCTTCCAGTTTATCAAGCATGAACTAATTATTGTTTACATCAAATCTGACAATTGAATTGTGAGTATTTTGGAGGTTATGTATTTAAACTACACATCACCTGAAATGATTAAAAGAAGCTTTAAACGGTGAAAGTACGACGATTTTTATTAATAATGAATTCTTTGCAGTTCACTGAGAATGTATCAGAGACGGGACAGGGGTGGTCAAAATCATAGTAATTTTGACGAGGGCACTAAAATGAGTTATTATGGAAGAAAAACTTCAAAACCGGACAAAAACATATCAAAACACGACAATAATTGCTGCCAGGATATAAGTATCAGTCTGGAGCTAGAGGATAATGATTCAATGTTCTTTCAGGATCTGAAGAAAATGTGGACAATGTGTAACTACCTTTATTTTAACATGTAATTTATTGTTAAACATAAATATTTTTTAGTAAAAAACAGTCCACCAGTGATAAGCAAGCTGCACAATTACTACAATGCATGTTACAACTTAAATATAAACCCATATGTTCAAGAATTGAAGCTAATTTTTAACTGTCAGGATTTTTATAATATAAAAAGTAAAACTCTGCCGTTATTTGTGATTGAAGAATTCAAAAAGTGGAGTACAATATCAAGGAATAAAATCATACACTTTTTGACACCACAAGTCCAATTGGATGCTTTCAAAGTGATCAATTTGCAAAACTCTTACAGTGTTAAAAAAATGGTTTTTGAGTGTTATGAGTTTTATCAGAGTAAAGATTTGTTTTTTAATAGTATTACGTGTATGGTAGAGAGAAAACAGTACAGAGAGGTGCATTAATTTTTTTTAATTCTCGGCTTTTGTTATAAAAATTTGTTTTGTACAATTTATAAGAAAACCTGACAATCATTTTTAGCTCATTAAGAGAATCACAAATAATTCTTTTATTATTTTAGGCTTCATATTATGCCATGCTGTTCAAGTTTCATGATAAATTTACAATAGATGATTTTTTAATTCCCCTGGTGTTGCAAGACAAATTATGTGGTGTGGTTGACGAATTTTTGGAGGGCAGCAAAAAACATCAAGTCGATTTGGTTCAGTGGTGTGACTCGATTTTGGCCAAAAATGTTAATCATGCTGCCATGGAGTATGTTTGGTAAGTAAATTTATTGTCTAATATAATAATAATACAACAAATATTTTTAATAGTTATACAAGGTGTCCCTAAACTTAGTGGCATAAATTTAGGGGCAGATTAAGCAAGTCAAAATAAGACGAAAATCTAAATAAATATTTTTCCTAATTACGTATGTTTAAAAGATACAGGGTGATAAAGTGTTACTTATCATATCGGATTTTTTTATATAACTTCTACTATGGTAGACTTGGAAAGGTGATATTTTGCGAACAGTCACTTACTACCAAAACACATATTCACACATAATTACAATTGTTTGAGTGAACACAGTGTCGTAGAAACAGGGGTTGCTTAATCTTATTGTCCCATACAAACTTTGAGGTTAGGTTTTTATACCATTTGATGCAATTTTTCGATTACTCAGTTCGACTACTATTAAAAAGGTGTACCTCTCAAACTTCGATAAAATTAACCGTTCTCGAGATATTCGAGATTACAATAATTGTTATATCGCATTAAAGGACTAAAAGTTATATGATAAAAAAAATTTAATTGAAAAAACTACATTTTTTTTAATGTGACGGTCAGGGCAAAAAGTCCCGAGGCTCATGGAATGCCCTTTTTAGTTTTTTCAATTAAAAAATAAAATTTGTTATCAAATACCTTTTAATCCTTTTAAATAATGCGATAAAACAATTATTGTAATCTCAAATATCTCGGAAACGGTTTATTTTATCGAAGTTTGAGAGGTACACCTTTTTAATGGTAGCCGAACTGTTTAATCGATAAATTGCATCAAATGTTACAAAAACCTAACCTCAAAGTTTGTATGGGACAATAAGCTTAAAGCAACCCCCGTTTCTACGACACTGTGTTCACTCAAACAATTGTAATTATGTGTGAATATGTGTTTTGGTAGTAAGTGTGTGTTCGCAAAATATCACCTTTCCAAGTCTACCATAGTAGAAGTTATATTAAAAAAACTGATATGATGAGTAACACTTTATCACCCTGTAACTTTTAAACATACGTAATTAGAAAAAATATTTATTTAGATTTTCGTCTTGTTTTGACTTGCTTAATCTGCTCCTAAATTTATGCCACTAAGTTTAGGGACACCTTGTATAGTAATAAGGGTAACTTGTCGAAATTTTTTAATATGCATAATACTTAAAACAACCCCCTCTATAGCATGACCATTACCATACCATTAACTAAGGTGACCAACTGTTCTGATTTAACCAGAACTATACTGTTTTTGAGAACCATGTTCTGGTTATAAATTAAGTAAAGTAAAAGTTCTGTTTTTGAAAAGCTTTTCTGTTTTTTTCTGTTTTCATACCTACATACACCTACAAATTGTAGGCTACAATACTAATTAAGCCATAAACATAAAATTATATTTTCCACTTTGCCAGATTTTTCGCAGAATCGTGCAACCCTGCTCGCCCTACTCCCACTAAATAACTTGGCTCTTCCCAAACGAACTAATAATTCGGAACTATTTTAGTATTGCGCATGTCCCTGACGTCTGCGCGTTATATTGTGGTTAAATATTGTAATATCTATTGTTTTTTATATTTCAAACTCTAAATGATATGCCTCTGCAAAGAGAAAAATGCATCTTAAATGCAGAAATGCAAAAGAACTACCCATATTGCTGTGTTTATCTTGAACAAATAGTCCTGTAGAGAAAGTTTTTTCCAATATGAACAACTTTTGGACAAAGACAAATCACAATTGCAACACTATAGTGTTGCAATTGTGATTTGTCTTTTATAAAATCATTATTAATTGTTAAAACTAATTTCGGAGAAACATGCTTAAAAAAAATGAAGTATGTACTAATAAAAAAAATTCACTTCCAAGAAAAATATAGTTTTAAAAAATCTTAATTTGTAATAATATTATGTTAATAGAAATACATGTAAACATTTTATAAAAAATACAGATTTTTTATTAGAGTTCTGGTTTTTCTTTCAGGAGAGTTGGTCACCTTACATTAACAGAACACTGTTTAAAATAAATATTATAATATTTTGCTAAATTTTTATTCTTACATCTTACTCTCATGGTATTTGTTTATGACCAGTGTTGCCAGATGAGAAAAAGTCGTGTAAAATCGTTAAAATTTAATTAGTTGTTCAAACCGGCAAATAGTACATTATAGACCAGTCGGAGAAACCTCATATTAAGTGCCGAGGCGATAGCCGAAGCAGTAGATTGTGTGCGAGGCAATTATTAAGCTTTCGCCGCCGTGTTTTATATACGATTTTTTTAAGCATTTAAATATTTTCTGAAGATTCTTTCATATCATTTTTAGGTTAGGTTCAACTAACATTTTAGCTTTATTTTTGTCGAGGAGTTTAATAATAATTAACTTTTGACCTAGTATTAATATAAAGTCTTTCTATATAAACTTATAAATCTTATAATATGTAAACTATTGTAGGCTCAAAAAAAATGTTTCTTCAGAATTTGAAGCTGATTTTTTTGACATTTTATCTGACATCTTACAATTAGCGGTTTTAACCTTACTTTATTTCAATTTAATGCACTAGTTCATTATGTAACTTAATAGACTAGTGCAAGAAAACTATATGGTTATTGCACTGGTGTATATAATGTAGTAGTAGACAAAAACTTAAATACTATCTTTTAAGTTTGAAAGGCATCGCCGACGTAAAACTCGAAAAGCTTTACGCTAAACCGTGGAAAAAACTGATTGCCCGACTGGTGAAAACCTATCGTCTTCCGTCGGACTTGACCCCGAACCTCGTGAAAAAACGCAACGAGGGGGCGCTACAGTTCATCCTTCATAAACGTTTCATTGAAAGGGCTTTCAGCGACGACAGCTACCGAGAGATGGTGCAAGAGGCGGTAGGCGACGACGAGGAAATGAAAAAAGAGTTGGTATCGCAGGTGGCGACGTACCAGGAGTTATCGGAAGCGCTGAGGTGGGCGCATTTTTATAATATAGAGAAGGAGGCGTGGCCCTATGGGCTGAGAATATACGAGGAAAATCCGAATGAAGATAGGTAAGTTTGTTTACTTGTTTTGGAAAAAAATACATTGATATAAAAACCGCGAATGTACTAAAATGTTAAAAAAGGTATTTATCTCCACGCGGTCTATAATTTAAACTTTATTGTTGTCAACATTCGATAAAGAAATACCTTGTTATGGCCTAGGCCGATAAAAATTTTTATGAGGCAAGTAATTAGTTCGATTTTTTCTCGCTAGGGGTATTGTTTTGACAAATTAATCCTTTTCTAAGAAATTAACGTACTAAACTGGTTTAATTTATTTATAATAAGCACTAATTTGTTTGTTTTACTGTTATAACATTATAATGTTTAATATTTTTCATTAAATTATTGTAAAATTAAATATGAATAATAAAACAAAAAGTGAGGTTAGGACATTGCAATTTGACGTTTCACAGTTGTGTTTTCTTTTTCTACGATTTAAATTATCTTTAAATTTTAATTTGCTTTAAGTTTTCAGTAAAATTAAATGTTAAACACAGCGTAAACATTACAAACTACCTATTTTTTAAATAAAAATGCAAACAAATTGAAATTAGATACCTATTTATTAAACAATTAATTGAATTCAATGTAATAGCAAGAGGGTAAGTAAACCATTTTCTTACAAAAATCCATTTCTACTTAAATCATGTAGCTAGGTATTGTCAAACTATTACTGCTTCTAAAAGGAATAATAATTATTGTACATTTAATGTAATCTTTAGCTAATAAATAAATGAGATTAAAAAAAGTGAGGTTAGGCCGCTTTCATGTTGAATTAAATTGACCTATATAAAGTGCTTTGAAGATAAAATGTTGTATGCCATTCGGCCAAGAAGTGTCTTTTTGTGCTTCGCTCAATTGTAGGCCTCCGCTACGCGTCGGCCTTCAAACTTTGAGCTTAGCACAAAAAGCCTTACTTCTTAACCTAATGACATAAATAACTATTTATAAAAAGAGGTACAAAATTATGATATGTTCTTGCATTTTTAATTGCAATTAAATTCATGAATCTCGAACACTCCGTCATTTATTACACTTGCAAACTTGCAAACTTTTTGAAATCACAATTTAAATACACACAAATAAAATTTATGAAATATTTTTGACAGCTCTGACATTTCTCTACCAAACATGAATTGACAAAGTCAAAGCCATCTAAATTTTAAATTATAAATAAAACTAACAATATCGCTACTAAACGGGCATTAAAAAAATTAATATATCTTTTAAAGGAACAAAAATAACAAAACAAGACTAACTGGACTGAAAAGATGAAGGCGGGGACTACATTTCCTGAAAGTTTCAGATTTTTATTTTTTCCTCAACATAATGATTTCTGAGGGCAAAATTGGCTAATTTTGAGAATTATCAATTTTCAATATTTTTTTTAGTAAAGAAATTGATAGTCTAGAAACTTAAAATAATAGTTACGTTTTCTATTGTATAAGTACTTTATACCTGAAAAAAATGAACCTTCTAAATTCAGTAGAATAGGCACAGGAGCCAGACAAAAATCACAAAAATTGGCAAATTATCATGAATCTTTAGTGGTTTACCATTCTTTTATGAGATTATCTAATTGGATAATAATAATTTATATCGAAAACACACTTATTGAACAGTAAAACAAAATTAAAATTATTTCAATATTTGTCACAGAAAAAAAGTTCTGGCCCACTATAAGAGAGTAAGAAATTGACACTATTTCAGACTTCTAAGGGGTGCCAAATAAAAGTAAAGCAACAAAAAATTAAAACGGCAACGGATTTTCATATTTGACACCTAAAAGATCATCCTCAAATTTTTTCATTACAATAAAAAATCATGCAGCGCACTTTTAAATTAATTTTTGGTGTTTTCATTTGGATTGACTCTTTTATAAAAAAAGTTTTTTGTGATGATGCTGAATAATCCGGCTTCATTGAGGTTATGTAACATAACCATAGATAATAAATCATAACTTACATTATTATACTTCTTCTGCTTTAAATTGACCATATGCAAGGAATGCGGTCGATGTTGCCAATGGTAAAAAAATAAAAGTCCCTATTGGGAACATTCAATTATATTACGTTGGCTACATTGGAAATTTGAATTTCCCGCACAAACTAAATTAATTTCTATCTTTATTTTTTAATAATAATAAATAATAATAATTCCCACATTTGAAATTCGCACCTTAACTTATTATACAACATTGGAACTACCTTCTTTATCTTTTTCTTTACTGGAATGTATGTCAGTTTGTGCGGGAAATTTAAAATTTCAGTGTAGCCAACGTAATATAATTGAATGTTCCCAATAGGGAATTTTATTTTTTTTACCATTGGCAACAGCGACCGCATTCCTTGCATATGGTCAATTAACACACAATAAATTCTTATTCAAAGTTTCTTGGCCTTGTATCATGGGCTTAACGAAAATCAGCGGTTAAACAATTGACATTTAAATGAAAAAAACAAGGAAAGTTTCCAAGGAATGTTTCCGGTAGCTTAAAAAAACTTTCAAAATGAAAATAAATTCCCAATTGGAAACTTTCCAAAACGGAAAGTTTCCTTAAAATGGAAACTTTCCGATTCCCATCTCTAATAAAAACTACGAATGCACTAAAATGTTAAAAAAGGTATTTATTTATAAAAGTATCCAATATTTTAGACATCAATTGGACATTTTAAAACCGGAAGAGGAGACGTGGGATTTGGAACCAGCACCAAACGAAAATGCTGACTATCACAAATTTCGTCTGGATTTTAATAGTATTCGTTTGATAGATTCTGAAGAGACTTTCCATAGTTTTTTGGATACAGGACTTCAGGTAAACAATATTTCAGATTTAAAAATTGATTGTTTTGATTACAGGACATTAAAATAAGCCAAAATATTAAATATATACACAGTCAAAGTATCTAGGGAACACCTAAATATTTTTTAATTATTGCAGTAAAACCAAAAAAACGAATGTGAAAATATAATGAATTAATAAAAACAAGTGTTTTTAACTTATTAAATAAAAAATATATTGTAAAATGATGTTACAACCCCTTCAAAACTTAAAATAATAACACCCACCAAATATCCAAATATTTATTATTATGTTATTTATAATAATTATGCTACATTTAGTTTTTTTATTACAAACTAATATCCGGACGGACCTCCTCGGTTGTTTACGACCGCCCTACATCGATTTGGCATACTCAATATAAGCCTATCAAGTAGGTTTTGGTCCAGATTTCGCCACACCTGTACCGCCAAAATTAGCTGCTGCTGGTCTCCATAATGGTTTTGGCGATTCAAAAGTCTTCTTTTCATAGCATCCCATACTTTTTCTATTGGATTAAGGTCTGGGGAGTTTGCTGGCCAAGGTAAAACGCTTATATCATTCTCTTCGATTGCTGCTCGAACGATCCTCGCAGTATGTGGCCTAGCGTTATCCTGCTGGGCCCATATTGGTTAAATAGGGTAATACAATAGGTAAAACTATGATATCGAACTGCATTCAAAGTTGTTTCCAAAGAGCTCGGTTCTTCCGCCAGTATTAATTCCTCCCCAAAACATCAATGAACCTCCTCCAAAATTGACCACCTCACGAGCATGTTGTAGCCGTGCTTGGTTTCCAGGTTCTCTCCAGATACGTATCCTTCCAGAATCTGGGTGGTAGCAAAATCTTGACTCATCAGAAAAGAGAATACGGCTCCAATCATCAGGACCCCAATTAAGATGTTCTTGTGCCCAAGCTAAACGAGCAGCGCGATTTCCAGGAAGCAATCGGGGTACCCTTAAAGGTCTTCTCTGAAATTGACCTTGCTGTCGGACACGGTTTCTGACAGTTTGAGCTGACACAATCAAATCGTGGGTCCTAAGAAGCTCTTGTCTTAGCTCGGGATCTGTTATTTCCGGGTGTCTCCGAGCTTGCAAAAGCAAAAAGCGGTCTTGTACCGGGGTAGTTATCCTACTGCGGCCTGGATGTCTTTCCCTTACGTCATTATACTCATTGTAACGTCTCCACAATCTGCTTATAACACTCACAGATGTGCCCATTTGACGAGCCACTTCACGTTGTTATGAACCACCTTGTATCAAACCAATTGCTCTTAATTTTTGTTCGTCACTTAGATGGTGCCTTTCCATAATAGTAAAAGTATTTTTATAAAAATTTGATGAATATTGGGTAAATAACACAAGATATACTAAATTGCACCGTTTAACGGGTACCCAGAAATACGATAAATAGTAAAAAACATTATTTTTTTGCATTAAAAAATGTGTTATACAGTGTGTTCTTTTATATTTAGTTATGTTATTTTATAATTTATAAGTTAAATTATTTAATAATTAAATTTAATTCGATTTTTCTGGGTGTTCCTAGACACTTTGACTGTGTATATTTTTAATTTTTTATCTATGTTTGTATAAAGAGTTAAAAACAGGTACTCATGATTTTTTTATATGTTCAGATTTTTTGTGGACTATTTTGCATTTTACAGAGATTTGTAGCTTCTTGAGCATAAAATGTACAATAAAATGTAATATAAAAATAAAAACTCTTTTATAATTAAAAATGTTAAAAATAGACTCACCTTCAATTTCTTTTAACATATATTTTAGACGCTAAAGAAGTATCGCCACCACTCGGCTGTTATCATCGTAACAAAAGTATAACTTTTAATAATCAGCTGTCAAACGCTTATGTTACAAACGAGAGTTTTTGAGAATAAAGCCGGAAAATGTTAAAAAATATCGGAAAAAACCGTGGCACGATTTGTTGTGTTGTTGGGTGTATTTCGAGAGGAAATCCTGGGTTGAGTTTTTACCGTTTTTCCAATAAAAAGTGATAATCCGAATAAAGAAATAAATTTCATACAGTCCCTGTAAATATAAATTGTATCTATTGGATACAATAAATACACATTTTAGTAATGATTAACGTAAAAAGTGTAAACATTTTAATTCAGTAAAAATCGTCAAACAAATAAGACGTCTAAATTTAAAAAGCATTTAGCATTATTAAAAGCGTTGATTAAGAAAATCTCCACTCAACGGTAAAATACCATTATATTATGTATTATATTTAAAATTATGTTTCCATGAATTCGTAGGTATATTTTGTAATTCTAATGCAGTTGTCGGCGTTTTTTAGAGAACTCAAATATAAAAATGGTTGATTTTAAGGTTATGTTTGTGCAAAAATTATTTTTTACCAATTTCTTAAAAATGTTTAAACTTAAATATAAATTATATTAGGTAAAGTTATCATTAGTTAATTATGCCTCAAAAAATGTTCTTACCGAATTGGATCCTTTGGCAAAACATGAAAACGACTTAGTTCTTGAAATTTATTTACAATTAAAATCACAATAATTCACCATGATCCCTTAGATAAAATACACACACTAACGTAACTATATAAGCATTTAGCGTTGAGTTTATTAATCAATGATATAAAGAATAATTAATCGAAATCGAGTAGTAAACCAGTTTTTTAGTATTTTCCTTGCAACATAAAACAAAAATAACGTGCGCGATTTAGCTGTGCAATTGAACAAAATTTCTCGTGTAAGACTTCTGCCTCTCTTTTGTGAAAAAACTTCCTATTTATTTAAAATGATGTACTTTAAAAGTGTTGTTGACAATTCTTAAATTCACGCAATATATCGAAGTCCACCAGATGGCGCGCGCGTTGCGAAAACCCAATACTTCTCTAGCGAATAGGCCTTATATATAGGCCTTATTATATTATAAGAAAAAAAATAGGTAACGTTTTTAAAATAAAGACTCTTTTTTACAATTAAAAATGTTAAAAATAAACTCACCTTCAATTTCAAAGTATACTACTTTACAAACAAGTTTTAGGCCTTAGAGTTACATCCTTTTTTAATGGGTCTTCAAAAGGCGTGCGTTGCATAGCTCACATTTTTATTGAACTGCTATCCTTCGCCTTTAGGTGGACACTTTTGCAACTGAAGTCCAATAAAAGATATTCTTGCTTCTTTCTTCCCTCCATAGTTTTGACTAAGAAGATTATAATATTATAAAATAATATAATATAAAAATATTATATAATCTTAGTTTTGACATGTTCGTTTTTTAGGACGTAGACATAGTAGGTATAGATTGCGAATGGAAACCCAGTTTCGGTAACAAAACCAACGAGCTAGCACTGATGCAGATAGCGACTCGAAAATTCGTGTTTATTTTGGATGTGATCAATCTTAGCGATAAAGTACCGCCGCTGTGGCAAGAATTGGGAAAATTACTGTTCAACAATAGCGGTATTGTCAAGTTGGGTAAGAAATTAGGTCAAAAAATTTGGAATGCTTTGAATTGCTTTTTTAGGTTTTAGTTTTTCCAGCGATTATGCGATGATCAAGCAAACTTTGCCGTTGCTCAATTTTTCCACCAAACAGGTGGGTTTTTTGGATCTTCATTCCATATGGAAGCAGCTTGAAAAACATAGCAGGATTAAATTACCTTATGAAGGTATGTGGATTAAGTAATTAATATTTCGTTTTTACAGAAAATTTTTTTTTGGACAAAATTCCAGGGCTCCCACACCTCCTAAAATTCATAAAATTCCTAAAATTTGGCTTAAATCCTAAAAACTCCTAAAATTCTCCTAAAATTGCCATCAATCTCCTAAAACTCCTAAAAATTAAATATAAGTGCTAAAAAATTTATTTTTTAAAAAGTAATTTAAAAAATATATATTTTTGGGTTCTAGTTTATTAAATTGTTTTTAAAATGATATAGGTATCACAACTTACATTTTTCTTAAAAAACAACAAAATATACCATAAAACAAAATCCATGTAGTAGCTTCTAGACTTCTACAAAATTGTCATTTTTAGCCATATTTCGTTAATTTTAACAAAAGGATTTTTAATTTTCTTTTAAATGATAGCTAAAATAGTAAACAATCTAAAGAATGTTTTGCTGTATCATGCACTTTATATTTTTTCTATATATTCTATGAGATTTTTTAGTAACAATAACATTACAATTATTGTTAGTTATTAACTAAACTGTTAAATTTTTTTTTTCAAAATATAAATATAACATCATTAAACTTTGTCCTACTTTTTTAGCCATATCAATCGACGCTTTTTTTTTAAATAAAATTAAAAGTGTGGTGAAATTTCTACTTGGGTACCTTAGATATATACAAAAATAGTAATTTTACCTCACTTTTCATTTTATTAAAAAAAACTCGTCGAGCGATTTGGCTAAAAAACTAGTCAATATAACCTATTTGTACAAAAGAAGTGATATTTATTTATATTTTTTGTTAAAAAGAATTACTTATTTTTTTCTTATTTTTTATGTATAGTGTAGAGTTGTTTTTATTTAATTAAATAAATTCATTTGCATACTTTTTTCTCCTAAAATTCTCCAAAAAACCTCCTAAATAAAATTTGTAATTTAACTGTGGGAGCCCTGACATTCAAATTAACTCTCTTTTAGTTCGAATCGGTGGCCCCAGCCTGGGCACTTTGGTCCACCACTGCCTGGGTCGCCCTCTAGACAAATCCGATCAGTTTTCCAACTGGGAAAAACGCCCCCTTCGCGAATCCCAGCTCATATACGCCGCCCTCGACGCTTACGTTCTCATAGAAATCTACGACGTCATGAAACAGTGCACGGAGAGCGCCAAACTTAATTTCGACGACATCTGCTACCATCTCATGACCAACGATAAAACGCAAAAGAAAAAGACCAAAAATCAAGGAAGAAGAAAGGTGAGTTTACTGGATAAATAAGTAATGTAGGAAGATGGATTTAAAATGCTTTGTCAATCCGCTCTTTTGTATAAGGTTTCTTAAAAAAAATGCTAAAAATACGTTAAGGAATAGGATAAAATTCAGAAAGATTATGTCAAAATCGATAAAACTCCCAGGTACTTTCCAGTTAACTTTTTTGGGTGCTTTTGATGAAAAAAGTCTTACAGACATAGGCGCCCATATAAATTATTATTACATGGTTCAGCAAAAAAAAATGTATGTTTTCTGCAGGGGGATTAGGGTTTTAAAGTGTCAAAAAAAAATTAAAAATTGTTTTTACCCAGGCCTTAAGAAAATTTGCTTTTTTGAAAAAATTGGGAAATATTCACATTTGAAAAAAAGGAGCAATCAACAATTTAACATTATTTTAATTAAAAAAAAATATCCTTACAGAAAAAAATTAAACTAAACATTAAACTTATTTAAATTGATTTAGGAAAATAAACGTGAACGTTAAATATACTGTCGGTTGGGTATTTTTTTGCAAAAAGGAGTCCATTCAAAATATGCAATTACAAAATAATGAATGATTTATAAAGTTAAATTACAAAATTATAATTTTATAAATCGAAGTGTGAAATTTAACGAAAGTTATGTTAATACAGCACCGAATATAGTTTTTTTTGCGACCCGTTAGAATATTCTTACTGAATTAAAATAAAACGAATAATTATTATAAGCATAATATTATGATTATATTGTAAAGATTTCTCTTTACCCCAGGTTCGTTTAAAACAAGTTTTATGAAAAATTGATACATTAAATATTTCGTGGCTTTGGCTCGTGATCGTCTTACCCAAATTTGGACCTCTACGCTGTGTTTACTTACTTGTTTTATTAGATGCATTGCTTTAAGAATGATACGTGGGAGAAATAGGTTTATAAGAAATAAAATACAGTGGCTTAATTTACCCCAATTTAATTTACGTTAACTTTTTACAAACAAGCAAGGGGTGGCTCTTAGGAGGGTTCGGCCAGGGAAAAAGAGCCTGAGAAAAAACCCTGGTCGGCTATGAAGTAGCAAAGGAATACGCGGTCAGGCATTGTACTTTAAAAATTACACAAATTAATGTATTTGCGATATGGCTCGATACTGCATTTAAACAAAGATATAAAACTGAAGAATATTGGGGTTAGTTAGCCGGGCTAGGCCCAGAATGTAACGAGGGTCCCAATATGGGAGGCAACCCGCCTAGTTTAGTTGAAGGGTCGGGGAAAAGCGAAGCAACCCTAGAGAACCTAGGGCAACCTTGTCCCCTCACGGGAGAAAAATATTAGTCCATACAACAAAGGCCCACGCACACAAACAAGGAGTACTCAAAGTTGGAACAATAACGGTCAGCACTCCTGGTTAAGCACCGAGTAATTTCGCAATACATTAATAACTTTGGACTGATCATAAAACAATGCTTAACCACGTTATAGAAAAAGGGTACAAAATGATGGGTTAAGCACAAACAAAATACAAGGTTACATTGAAGCGGCACAAGCATTGAACATAGCAAAGCATAAAAATTATAGTGATAATAATAAAAGCGAGAATAGGGGTGGTAATAGCTAAAAGAAAAGGATTAAAATCACGTAAAATACTGCTAAACGTAATAGACAAGGGTAAATATACTCATAATAGCAATAATTATATAATAATAAGCTTAACAATTTGAAAATGCACAATATTACGTTTAGTTAATTTTACTACACATTTAAATAGATTAAATAATTAGAACTAACCTTGTAGAATACACTAATAACACTTTTAACAATGATTTTAGAACAATAATTTCCTTTTACAATTTTACCAAAGAAAACGAACTGTACTGCACCGAATTCAAACTGCTTCTGCCGCATCTCCCTTTTTCGAAAAACTTTTTCGTTTACCTCTAAGGAAATTCCTCCCCCAATCTGCATGCCAGATGTACTCTTCCTTCAGCTTAGCGCTTACCTCTCTTGTTTGTTTGGCAAATTTTCTACCTAAATCTGAAATTTTACTTGCCTTAAACATAAAGTTTTATTACTTAATCCTATTTTAAAAGTCCAAAAATAAAATTATAATAACATGTTTTCTAATAAATCTATACAGGGTGTTTCTTTTCGGAACCATTACAGACGCCCCTTTAAAAGCTTGGCAAATGACCTCGGGAGGCTTGCTGAACTTTTAACATCCCTTTTAACCTTTTAGGTTAAGTACGCTCCTGCTCACAGCTGTCCTTCGGGCTGAGTCCGTCCCTGCTCATATACATTATGACTACGTACATCATAGCTCACATTAAATCTGATCAAAACTAAATTGTTCTGAAGTATTGTCAGTCATCTACGTCCTTGCCGGCTTCATCATTATTCTAAACATGATCACCAAAGTTAAAAATAAATTTAGCATCAAACTAAAAATAAGCCTGAAAAATAATAAGACTAGGTTTTCACCTAAAACCCCTTCTTTAAGTTACACCAAAAGATGTTTAACTAGTCGTTTCAAAACCACAAACCGAAGATTTACCACAAAACTGTCTTCAAAGAAGATCCAGCTGCGCCCCAGTACTTTACTCAGCTGCCACTATAAGTGATTCAGCTGCGCCCCTACTACTTTATTCAGCTGCCACTACGAGTGATTCAGCTGCGCCCCTAGTACTTTACTTAGCTGCCACTATAAGTTATTCAGCTGCGCCCTCGCGATGTTTTGCAGCTAGCTTCAAAAGAAGTTTTAGCTACACTACCAAGTTGCGGGACAACAGACAACAAGGCCAAGCAGCTGGCTTCATGCAAGAAACCACTACTACTTCCAAATAACTGACTGCTAAGAAGCATCAGTCACACTCAACGGTTCCTTGGTTTAGCAATTTGGGGGCCCACGTGGGGGGGTACAATGGCATCGAAACCGATCCCTATCACCAATTTGGTGAATGCCGGGATATGTCTGGCACCGACATATGTCCAATATAAAGGTAACCGAGTTTGGGCCACATTTTAAACAACACTCGGTATATTTCGCCCCTATTCTTTAACTAAAAAAATAAAAGGATTAATCGCTGAAAGAAATATTATTTTATCTCATTTTTATATTTGAATTTTGTCACCCATTTCCTGTTTTCCTTCAAGTTGAAGTTTTCGATGCTGCATTGTTTTATTTTATTTTCCTGTACAGATCCATTCTTTAAAGGCCCATAAGGAGTTTTTTTGTTTTACAATCAACTTTTGCTTTTCTTCTTGAATATCCTTAACTTTTGTTGAAGGTTTTGGTTTCCTCGTTAGTTTGCCTTAAATTGCTGCATAGGTTTTCCTCCATCATAAGTTTTACCGAAAAAATATCAAATGGATTAGAATTTTACAAAACAAAATACAGTGCCGGACTTAGGAAATTCCTCGCCCCTAGACATAAACCCTAGAGACAATCCGGTACTGCAATAAGCCTACTTCTCCACAAAGTTTTTCTTTTGCAATGCATCCTGGTCACTCGCACCAAAAATGTAAAGATTTCTCTTTACCCCAGGTTCGTTTAAAACAAGTTTTATGAAAAATTGATACATTAAATATTTCGTGGCTTTGGCTCGTGATCGTCTTACCCAAATTTGGACCTCTACGCTGTGTTTACTTACTTGTTTTATTAGATGCATTGCTTTAAGAATGATACGTGGGAGAAATAGGTTTATAAGAAATAAAATACAGTGGCTTAATTTACCCCAATTTAATTTACGTTAACTTTTTACAAACAAGCAAGGGGTGGCTCTTAGGAGGGTTCGGCCAGGGAAAAAGAGCCTGAGAAAAAACCCTGGTCGGCTATGAAGTAGCAAAGGAATACGCGGTCAGGCATTGTACTTTAAAAATTACACAAATTAATGTATTTGCGATATGGCTCGATACTGCATTTAAACAAAGATATAAAACTGAAGAATATTGGGGTTAGTTAGCCGGGCTAGGCCCAGAATGTAACGAGGTCCCAATATGGGAGGCAACCCGCCTAGTTTAGTTGAAGGGTCGGGGAAAAGCGAAGCAACCCTAGAGAACCTAGGGCAACCTTGTCCCCTCACGGGAGAAAAATATTAGTCCATACAACAAAGGCCCACGCACACAAACAAGGAGTACTCAAAGTTGGAACAATAACGGTCAGCACTCCTGGTTAAGCACCGAGTAATTTCGCAATACATTAATAACTTTGGACTGATCATAAAACAATGCTTAACCACGTTATAGAAAAAGGGTACAAAATGATGGGTTAAGCACAAACAAAATACAAGGTTACATTGAAGCGGCACAAGCATTGAACATAGCAAAGCATAAAAATTATAGTGATAATAATAAAAGCGAGAATAGGGGTGGTAATAGCTAAAAGAAAAGGATTAAAATCACGTAAAATACTGCTAAACGTAATAGACAAGGGTAAATATACTCATAATAGCAATAATTATATAATAATAAGCTTAACAATTTGAAAATGCACAATATTACGTTTAGTTAATTTTACTACACATTTAAATAGATTAAATAATTAGAACTAACCTTGTAGAATACACTAATAACACTTTTAACAATGATTTTAGAACAATAATTTCCTTTTACAATTTTACCAAAGAAAACGAACTGTACTGCACCGAATTCAAACTGCTTCTGCCGCATCTCCCTTTTTCGAAAAACTTTTTCGTTTACCTCTAAGGAAATTCCTCCCCCAATCTGCATGCCAGATGTACTCTTCCTTCAGCTTAGCGCTTACCTCTCTTGTTTGTTTGGCAAATTTTCTACCTAAATCTGAAATTTTACTTGCCTTAAACATAAAGTTTTATTACTTAATCCTATTTTAAAAGTCCAAAAATAAAATTATAATAACATGTTTTCTAATAAATCTATACAGGGTGTTTCTTTTCGGAACCATTACAATATTTAGCGTCAAAAACTCTTTTTTTCACGCTTTCAGTGTATGGGATTTTTTTCTGCAGGGTCAATTTTTCCTGACATTTTAAAACACCAAGGGAGATCAACAACTTTTTGGGGGTTATTTGCGTGCGCTGATTCCAAAATTTTCCATTTTGCTCCATCAGCTTTTATTTATAGTCAAATACTTCAACCCTTAGTTAGGCGCGCGGGGTGCCCACGATCCCAACATATTTGTATCTTGCTTATAAAACCCCATATGGGTCTTATGAAAAAAAAAACAGTTTTCAGCGTTTCTCAATTTTTTGTGGTATTTCTTTAAAAATGATTTGCACCCCCCGCGACCAATAGTCCAATTTTTGTAGTTCTGTTATAGTGGAAATTAATAAAATATTACATTATAACCTTACAAGATTTAATACATACTTGTTTTGGATAAATAAACACAAAAATTATAACAATAACTGTTATAATAGGCCATCCTCAAGAAATAAACTGAAACGTCAAATTTTTCGATTTAATTGGCCCAAAATCTCGCAACTGAGCATAATATGTCATAAAAAGTATATAATCTTTTCCAAGACCTCCAAAACGAAAACTGGATGAGTCTATATAAAGAAGACCAGAGCCGCCAATGCTGAATGCAACTCAAAAGAGGTGCTATTTTTGTCAAGAAAAAATGGGATAAAAAAACTATAAAAAGTTGTAACAGTTGTGCAAAACTCATTTCCTATCTTTACTCTAGCTTCTTTTTTATCGGATGTAGTAAATAATTACTTAGTTAAATATTTATTGAAAGATATTTCTCTTGTTAATTTTGTATATTGAAAAATCTTTTGTTCTTTGATAAAAGTAATGTTAATCTTTATTAAGTCATCATATTTTGCAATAGTATTCCCAAAAGTCCAAACGAAAAAATACACATTAATAAAAAAATTAGGATGGGATCAAAATCACCTCACGCGCCTAATTGTGGGAGCCGAATTGGGCGCGCCTAACTAATGGGTAACCAAGTAATGTAGCTAGCTATGAGTCCTAATTATACTAAAATAATTAAATTATACACGTTCATAAAGATTTAAAGAAAATTATTCTTAAAGAGCATGTTTTTAAAGAATTACAGTCTTTTTTTTTTGCCAAATTTCAGCAATTTTCACAATTCAAAGTGCTGTTACGCTGTCCGATTTTAATAAAATTTACAAAATTTTTGCTTTAAAATTTGTCAAAATGACACTTAAATCGAGCGTGTCAACTTTGGGTATCAATATAATATATTAGTTTAATTATAACATTATAGTTATAATCTTTTACACTAACTAATTAAAAGTTTGTTACAGGCCAGTTTTAATTAAATGTGTTCAGAGAGGAAACAAGCGGAGTTACATTACATTTTTATTACATATGTACAAAAGCGACCCAGGTCAGACTTGGAGTTAATTAATTCCCCAAATCTATTATCAAGGGCGCAATGTCTTCACAATCTAATAAAGCTTGTACCATTGTTTACACAAGCCAGTGGTAGAATATGATAATCACAATGTATTATGTACAGTTGTATTCAATAAAAAAGCGTACAAGAATTAGAATGAGAGAAAACTGTCAAAATAATAGTATTGCTTAAAACCGGCTTATCACTGACATAAGTCATTAAAATAATTATTATAGGTTATAAAGAGCATTGACGTCGTAGGTTAATTAAATAATATTAAGTCCATGTCTGACGGTGCAACTTCTCGCGGCGACTTTGTTGCGGCGACTAGGTCGCCGCGATTTTTTGGTGGTCACACGATGCAACTAATCAGCTGATCTAACCTGTCTCAAAATAGAACATGTTCTATTTTCATGCAATAAAATCGCCGCGACTTAGTAACTTTTTTAGGGATTTACGAATTTTCACTAAATTTTTTGGTTGGTACTCAATATTTATCAGCTGTGGAATGACAGATGTGATTTGCGTGTGCTTTAATCTGAGTGTTTTTATTTTTACACCACAAAATACCTATAACTAAAAAGAAAAACAAAACCGATTTAAATAAACATTAAATTTGTTTAGGTATTTTTATTTTTCAACTAAGTAATTTTCGGTTATGTTGGCAATCCTAGTAGAAAATAACGTCAGTTTGGTTGCACCGTGTGAACACCCTAGAGGCGAGAAAGTCGCTGCAACTAGTCGCCGCAACAAAGTCGCCGCGAGAAATTGCACCGTCAGACATGGACTTTACAAAAATTATTACCTTTTAATAATGAAAAAACAAAAATTAAAAAAAATTTAATATTTAGTCATGCATCCCTGTTTTTCTATTACTTGAGCCAATCTATTTGGGATGAACTGAATTAAATTTAATACAATATTTGGATTAATATCTTCCCAGCAGTATAGTAGGTATAGTATAGTTGTATAGTTTCCCATAAATCCTCAGATATCCCAAAAAAGCAGCACCCTGTTCAGGGGTGGACCTTTTGGGACGACCTGAACCAACTTTTTGGTTTAGTAAATCTTCCTGTTCCCAGCGTTGCTTAATTTTTAATATAGATTTTTTATTTCTATTATACCACAGTACGAATTGACCATTCTTCTTCGATTCTTGATACTATTTGAGCTTTTTTAACTGACGAGGCATTTTTATTTTCTACTGTCAGTTATAGTGACTTAAGTCAGTGGAAAGCCGGTTTTACGCAATAATGTTGACAGTTTTCTCTCATTCTAATTCTTGTACGCTTTTTTAATGAATACAACTGTACCTATGTATCCTCACGCACGAAATATCGAAATTACAAAAAAGTCAAATATAAAGTGACACTGACCCATCAATAATATTAAACGGTGCGCGCCAGCCTTAAGCTATTACCAACTGGCACACACAAGTGAATGGTTTTATTTTTATAATTTCGTAAAAAAACGTATTAAAAACAGGATAATTGCTACAGTTCTTGGTAAACCCTACGCAAATGAATTATATTTTTTATGACACATCAGAATTACGCCGTAAAAAAGCAAATTTAACGGCAGTAACTTTGCAATTCAAAGTTGGTAATGACGTCAGCGCTGACGTCATTATACCCATGCAGATTTAGCTGCGACTATACCAATATATTTTGCCGATAAAGTTGGAATGGGTTGAACATTTCCAGGGGGAAGTCAGTGGCGGCTGGTGGATTTTGGGTATACCAATATTTCAGTTATTACTAATAACTTATTAGACATGGGACCCACACCAAATTTATAATATTTTATAATGACATTAAATAGACAAGTTCGGCGCAAACAGAATTTAAATTGAAGTTTGCGAAAAAAAGTTAGTTTTTCCTGTCGCCTCACCCGCCTCCAGGCCCCCCTATTTAAGATAATTCAAATTAAAGTGGTGCAATTTATTATGTACTATAACTTGTTTATTTAATGTCATTATAATTTGGTGTGGGTCCTATGTCTAATAACTGAGATATTGGTATACATAAAATCCACCAGCCGCCACTGGGGAAAGTGCCCTTCCGTGCCCATGCTTACAGACCGTTGTTATTTTTTCAGTTTACTAACTCGACGGCACCCACCGTGCCGCAGGCTCCCAGTCCGCACCCTGCGGCAGTCCCTGCGCACCAAGTCAAAGTGGTGTGCGACACAATGTTGCAAGGTCTGGCGAAAAATTTGCGACGAGTCGGCATCGACGCCGCGGTGTTGCAAAATCACCAGGAGCACCAGGAGTGCGTCAAGTACGCGATAAACGAGAAAAGGTACATTTTGTCCAGAGGGGGAGTTTACAATATGGTAAGTTGCGTTTTTATGTTAAAGAAATATTTTTCACGTTCAAGTTTGGTATTTTGAACATAAATTCACGGCGTTGCCAACCCTAAGAAAATTTCCCCATTTCAGTGATTCAGATTCTATGGAAATTTACTCCACGCAAAAAAAAATTCCCAAGCAAAATATTGTTACAATACTGAACTTGACGCGCTATATAACAAAATGAAATCTATTACACTATATAAACATAAACAATCAAGAACAGGCACTGATGAATCGGAGTGAAGAATCAGCTGTATATTTTATTTTTTTATAACTACAATTTTTGTAATTTTTTTTTATTTGAATGTTATTTACTTATTTATTTTAGAATTTATTGTTATTTTTTGTTCAGATTTATATCCTGTTTTTGAAATAAAAATTATTTGAAAAATTTCTTTTGCTTTGGGGACATTCCACGTTACTCGGTAATATTTGTCCCGCCCGTCACAATTAAAAATTGTGAGTAAAAACCACAAGTTATTAAATTAATATTTTATAATATTATTTTTATTGTGCTTATAACTTATTAAAAGCATAATAAACAATATTTTAAAATAAATTTTATAACTTGTAGTTTTTACTCACAATTTTCAATTGTGACGGGCGGGACAAAAATCCCCGAGTAACGTGGAATGACCCTTTGTTTATTAATATGATTTTTTTCAACTTAAGTTGAATTTAGGGGGAAAATGTCAATCTAGGGAAATTTTTGAGACCGGAGAGTGATTTTTTTCACAGTTTGGTTGGCAACGCTGTAAAATCACCACATTGGAAAACTTGTACCTTAAAGAGGTAATTATTCTTTTAGTTGAGCGGTTATGTACCGCAAGGTCACTGTCTAAAAATATTAAGTGACGATGTGGATGAACAATTGAAAGAAGTACTGGATTATTATAAAATAATTGTTACAAGGGATCATATATTTAGCAGGTGCCAGGTAAAATAAAACCTACTTATATTCTTTCCCGTGACATTTTTGATATTTTTTTGTTACTTTAGGCTTGTAACGGTAACAGTTTTATTAAAGTATCGCGTTCGACTATGTCAGCTCTGGTAAATTCTGCAAGAAGCGTTCATCACCCTCCTCCATGTTACGAAGAAGACGAAGCAACAGGTTTTACAAGCGAAGAAGAATTGGAAGAAGCCGGTTACAGTTACCGAAAACAACCGTACGTGGCGCCACCGGCACCTATCACTACTTCCAGAAAGTGGGACCTATGTAAGAAAGAATTAAGTAAAGGGGGTTTTTATATACAGGGTTTCCCGAAAATGGCTCAGTAACGGTATACCCCGCTGGTTATTTCAAATATAAACATTATTTTAATGTTTAGGGACTTTTTATTTATATAAAAGTTTTTAAAAGTTAAAATTTGTTAATAATTTCTAGGTTACATGACTATATGATGAATTAAAGTTTACATTTTTTGCCAACCATGCTAATTTCAAATCCCAGCAGATGCGTTATTGGTTTTGTTTCAATGACAACTATTTTTATATGTGTAATATAACGGCTTAGGAAAATAGCGTTGCCGATTTTTTCAAGCTTCAATGCTTAATAGCTAGAAAACTACTTGTCGTAAACTATACCTGGGTCATTCCACCAAATACAATTTTTTTGGGTTGTGACCCATGCAGATTTTTTTTAATTAGTGGAGTTATTCTTTTCATAAAAATATTGACTCACTGAAGATTTGGGCTCGAAATATTAAGTACTTTCGTTGTAATGATTTTTTGAATTTTGACAATATATTTTTGAAACTTTTTTGTTAATTTTTTTTTGATACAGAAAATAGTATATTAAAGAACTAATGTCATAACTTATGACTCATAAGACGTCGCTCGTTTTATAAATTGTCCGCGTGCGACAAAAAGTCTTATGATATGAGTTCTTTATGCTAATAATAATAATAATAATAAACTTTATTGGAAATCTAAATGGCTTTATGCTATTTTATCTATTTTGCAAAAATTCTATAAAAAAATTAATTTTATACCTTAAATGGGCGTTTCTCTGTAAACTGGGCAACTTGAAGTAAGAAATTGTCTAGGCAAGTTTTTTTGTTAAATTTTTGTTGTATTTAATAAATGTTATTCGAGGAATAAATATCGGTCTATTTATTAGTATACGGCAGATGAACCAAAAATATTCCTATTACTTTGGAAAACATTGAGCATTTTCTAAAAAATCTATACAGGGGACTGTTTATAAAATCCGGAGACAAAGTTTAGATGACTTTTTTAGAATTACAAAATAATAATTATAAAAAATAAATAAATCACAGTAACAAGCAAACAATATTGGTTGAATAATTAAACAATTAGGTTGATTCCAATAGTTACTGTCTTTAATTAATTTAGACTGAAGTGACCATTTTGCTTTGGTGACACGTCGGGGGACTGGTTTTTAAGGACTATAAAAACGATTTTGATACATTAAAGTTTATTTTATTGGATTTTGAACGTCGAGCATAGGTAGATTAGGTTATTATCTTTTGAAGTTATCTACGAAATATTTATGATCTGTTATTTTTCTAAACAATATTAGCTTGAGACAATGTTGCCCAGTTTACAGAGAAACGCCCAAATTTAATTTGGTCGAATTTTACTTTAGATAGTTGGTATCACAGTCATTGGTTTGACAGTTAATGTCAAAATCGATTCGCCATGCCGTCCTTAATTTATTTATTTACAATAAGCGGCTGTTAATGTTAAAGAAGAAAAAAAGGATTTTCTTTGGTGTTAAACAAAATTTATTGCCAGAAAAGTCTCGTAAGTACTAGAAAAATCCTAAAAATATTATAAACAATTTGCAAAATATTTTGCTGTTTAAAGTATAGCAACCGAAAAATCAAAATTTTGGGTGGGATAAAGTATCTCATTACAGCACTGAAAGCGGTGTTATAATGAAGTCATTATAAACGCAAAATAGATAAAAATAATTTTAAATTCTTTTTATTACATTAAATTTAAAAAATTATTAGCTTTTTAATAAAAATACTCAGTAGTAAAATAACATAAGGTCTTGAATTAAATAAAACAAAAATTAATTTTGAAAATTTTATTTTAAATTAAAATTAATAGCATGCTTATTTTCGAATTCTGGCTTGTTTTTTTTTGCTTTTTTCAGTTTAAAGAACGATTTTTCTTGTCCTAAAATTTAAAAAATCCTAACAAAATTTTCCATATAATTTCGAAATAAAAAAAAACTTTCGTATCGTAAACGAAAAAATAGACCAGGCAAGATTTAAATTTTGACTAAAAATATTACGAAATTGGTGTCAAATTACAATTACTTTTTTATTTAATTTTATTTAAACAAAAATAACCCCACACATATCAGAGTGCGTTTTTGTGTAAATAATTTTCACCTTCAGAAAAAAATATCAAATTTAAAATAAAAATTACCGCAAGGCCAGAAAAATCACTTTAATTGAATAATAAATATTTTCATTGAAAATCTTTATGAAACATTACTTATTTATATCCAAAAAAAATTACAAAAAAGTACCGTCAAAATTTGAAAAATCATTACTATTGGAAAGCTTAATATTAAGAGCTTAAATCTTTAGTAAGCCCACAATCAACAATACAAGGTCTGTTCTATCTCATACTAAAAATACTAAAAATCACAGCAACACTGCACAGAGTTTAACGGCGGCCATTTTTGTTGTTTACAATTCTTGTGCTTTGGGTTTGTGCTGTTTAATAACAGTTTTAAACGTTGTTTCTTACAGAGGAACTTGTAAGCCTCTAATGAGGCCTTGAGTGCCAAGTACAACCATTTTACTCCTCTTTTATAAAAAATAAACCTTATTCTATTAGGGCTGTCAAATGTCAATTTGAAGGTTAATTTGTGGGTTATAAATTAACCTTAAAATTGACATTTGACAGTTTGATGACAGCCCTGATAGAATAATCTTTATTTTTTACAAAAGTGGAGTAAAATGGTTATCCTTAGCATTTTAAGGCATCATTTAAAGCTTACAAGTGCGTCTGTAGAAACACAACGTTTAAAACGAGTATTAATCTGTATAAACAGCACAAACCCAAAGCACAAGAATTGTAAACAACAAAAATGGCCGCTGTTAAACTCTGTGCAGTGTTGCAGTGATTTTAAGTATTTTTAGTATGAGATAGAACAGACCTTGTTGTGTGGAATTGTGAGTAAACCATTATTTTAATTTAGAGATAAACTCCACAAAAAAAATATATGGTGTGGTGACCCATATACTTTAAACATACTTTAAAATTCTTAACTACAGCTTGGCATACCGTTTGTGCGTCCTGTATAAAATTTATTCTTTTAGATCCTGTCATTTTAGGGAAACCCTGTATAAAAATTATTCTTTTAGATCCTGATGAAAAATTGGATATGGGACTGTGCCAAACAAAACAGGGGGCCAAAATTCAAGTATCAAACATCCCTGAAGGTGTTTTAAACAAAAACGAGCTCTATTATGTGTGCGAGGAGTGCGGAAAAGTTTTCTGGGATGGGACTCATTTTGAAAAAGTCCTTCAAGGAAGGCTCAAAGATGTCGTGCAATAGAACAAAACCACTTAAATTGTTGATTATTTTTGACTAATTATAAGAGCTCTATTTTATTTAATCATCGGTTCTTTAATATATAACCTCTAAAATACGACTTGTTTTATTTATCTTACATCAAGCAGTTCTCGGACTATTCGCATGCGTAATACATAACGAAATAAGCATTAGATTGTGGTTTTTGCGCATGCGAATAGTCTGAAAACTCCTTAAAACAAACCTATAGGTATAACATATAATTATTATATTATTATAGGTCCTATATAGTATATCTTATTAGGTTTTACTATATAGCATATACAGGGTCTCCAAAAATTGGAGTTCTAAATGCCTATCAGATGAGCCCCGTGTTTGTTCTAATGTAGGTAAGCAACCAAGTTCACAAATCTATATATTGTTGCAATTTTGCGAATTCGAAAACATTTTAAGAGAAACTAACCTTTACCCCATGGAGCCTAGGCTCCATGCTTTACCCTTTAGGCCGCTAATTTTGGGACACTATACAGGGTGTCCAAAATCATTTTGGCAAAATGTGATGGGATAGCATTGCTATCTCGGAAACGGTTACAAATGGAATAGGGCATCAAGGGTTCAAAAGTTGCGTAATTACATGCCTTTTATTATGACATCTGAAGATTGCACACAAAATCAGCGGTTCTCAAAATATTTGAAAAAAACTGAAAATTGGTTAAAACTTATTATCGCTATTATTTTTTTATTTATAGAAATTTTGAAAAACTGAAAGGTTTACATGAAAACATACACAATTACATACGTTTTAATCCTTTTTGTGTATTTTTACGCCTACTAGATTCTGAGATATGGCCACATATGGCGGCCATAGGAGAAACAAAAGATAGTAGCCGTATCTCAAAATCTAGTTGGCGTAAAAATACACAAATTGGATCAAAATGTATGTAATTTTATACGTTTTAATGTAAACCTTTCAGTATTTTAAAATTTCTAGAAATAAAAAAGTTATAGCGATAATAAGTTTTAACCGATTTTGATATTTTTTTAATATTTTGAGAACCGCTGATTTTTTTTGCAATCTTCTATGCCATATTAAAAGGCATGTAATTACGCAACTTTTGAGCTCTATTATGTGTGCGAGGAGTGCGGAAAAGTTTTCTGGGATGGGACTCATTTTGAAAAAGTCCTTCAAGGAAGGCTCAAAGATGTCGTGCAATAGAACAAAACCACTTAAATTGTTGATTATTTTTGACTAATTATAAGAGCTCTATTTTATTTAATCATCGGTTCTTTAATATATAACCTCTAAAATACGACTTGTTTTATTTATCTTACATCAAGCAGTTCTCGGACTATTCGCATGCGTAATACATAACGAAATAAGCATTAGATTGTGGTTTTTGCGCATGCGAATAGTCTGAAAACTCCTTAAAACAAACCTATAGGTATAACATATAATTATTATATTATTATAGGTCCTATATAGTATATCTTATTAGGTTTTACTATATAGCATATACAGGGTCTCCAAAAATTGGAGTTCTAAATGCCTATCAGATGAGCCCCGTGTTTGTTCTAATGTAGGTAAGCAACCAAGTTCACAAATCTATATATTGTTGCAATTTTGCGAATTCGAAAACATTTTAAGAGAAACTAACCTTTACCCCATGGAGCCTAGGCTCCATGCTTTACCCTTTAGGCCGCTAATTTTGGGACACTATACAGGGTGTCCAAAATCATTTTGGCAAAATGTGATGGGATAGCATTGCTATCTCGGAAACGGTTACAAATGGAATAGGGCATCAAGGGTTCAAAAGTTGCGTAATTACATGCCTTTTATTATGACATCTGAAGATTGCACACAAAATCAGCGGTTCTCAAAATATTTGAAAAAAACTGAAAATTGGTTAAAACTTATTATCGCTATTATTTTTTTATTTATAGAAATTTTGAAAAACTGAAAGGTTTACATGAAAACATACACAATTACATACGTTTTAATCCTTTTTGTGTATTTTTACGCCTACTAGATTCTGAGATATGGCCACATATGGCGGCCATAGGAGAAACAAAAGATAGTAGCCGTATCTCAAAATCTAGTTGGCGTAAAAATACACAAATTGGATCAAAATGTATGTAATTTTATACGTTTTAATGTAAACCTTTCAGTATTTTAAAATTTCTAGAAATAAAAAAGTTATAGCGATAATAAGTTTTAACCGATTTTGATATTTTTTTAATATTTTGAGAACCGCTGATTTTTTTTGCAATCTTCTATGCCATATTAAAAGGCATGTAATTACGCAACTTTTGAACTCTTGATGCCCTATTCCAACTATAACCGTTACCGAGATAGCAATACTATCCCATCACATTTTGGACACCCTGTATATGCTATGGCAGATAGTGTAATGATGAAAATACACCTTAAGTTAAATAAATTGGTGTAAAGGCATCTTAATGGCCTGTAGTTGAAATGTATTACGTGGGTAATGCAGGGCGCTGTATTCGATACAGTGTATTGTTCACATAACCTTCATGTGTTTAATTGGCAGAAGAATATCGTAAAAATGTCACTTACTTAGTACAAAAATAGACTATCTTTTAATAAAAATGTTGATTGGTTTCGCCGAGCGTGTGACAATAAACGAAAACGCAAAAATCCGTGTATATTTGTACGTGCTGTAAGTGAGAAAATTGTTAAATTAACGAAAATGGTTGTTGGTAGCAGAACGCAACAGTTGCTGAAATGCGGCAAAAATGCTTCGTTTTCCAATCAAATTAAATTTGGCAGGTCGTTTTACACCTTTGGCAACCGTAAGTACGTGAACCAAGCGAAAAATTTCGGGTCATCCAAAGAAAATTCGTTTGTGAGGTTATGTGATTGTAAAAGACTGCACTCTTCCAGGGAGACCAGGAGCACCATCACCAAACTGTCACCTCAAGAGGTAAGTCGAAACTCAAACTCACCTCTCCTAATATTATAAAACATCTATAATATATTGTACACTTTCCAGTAGGTATATTTATTTATTGACAAAACTTTCAAATACTTTTAAGTTAAAAGTTTTAACTAGCATAGGGCAAATAGGTATATGTTTCAGTTTGGTTTTGATTAAAATGTGTTGATTGAGTTTAATTCAAGCCTATGTAAGTTATAGTTACAAACTTTGAATATTTACTATTTATGGTCTCTTGGGTACCTATAAGGTTTTTAAAAGTAATTTTTTAAGATTTATTAAAAAACCAAGCAATTTTCCAATGACTTTTCAAAAATAAAATATTAAAATTCATCCATAACAAGTTTTAATTGTTTAAACCAAAATTTTATTAAATATGTTTGTCAACCTCAACTGCCTTGAATGGTTTCCATAACACCCATTTTTGTATGTGTAATATTTTGGCTTATTATGGCGTTAATGCGCCATTTTTGGGACTAGGCTATAAAATAAAAACAAATTTTTAAAATTCGATAATATGGCGAGTAAAATATTTAAAATTTTGATAAACAAAAACCTATAGATTTGCTACAGCAACATTTTTGTCTATTTCAAAATACCTAGTGATAATAAACAAGAAGTACACGCTTAAGTATATCTTGTTTACATATTCTATAAATAGTTTGAATTTAAAATTATGCACCCACATGTTGAAAACGTGAAATATTTTATAACAACAACAATTATTATTGATGTAAAAAGAACATGGGAGTTGAATGACTGAAAGATATCTCTCAATCACACAAATGGGTAATTTTCACGAAATCTCTGTATTTGAAGCCCAAAAACAAAAAATATACAATATGATTTTTCCCTAGCAACCAAAGTAAATATTATGTCGTCGTATCTATTTAATGCCGAAATTAACTAAAATAAGATCAAATGAACCAGTAATTTTTTGGGAATTTTGTATATTTTTGTTTAATTAAATAATTAATATTGTTTTTTTTGTTACCTAGGTAAATAAAATATCTGTTTCCAGACTCAAGAACTCAGTCAATGGCCAATAATTGTAAACCTTTTTTTTGCCACCATATTATTTTTTTTTATTAAAATTGCTTAACATTTTTTGGAAAAAATTGTTTAAAATATTCATTTTTCTCAAATGTTCTAAATTATTTTTATCAAAATGGATTTTCTCGTAAAGATTAATATTATTGCGCATAAAATTAAAAGTCAGTATTGTATTATTTAAATAAACAGCTAAATTATCTTAAATATTTATTCAAGTTTTATTATTTTAAGCAATAGATTAGTTTTTATTGTTTTTTTTATTTTAATCATGCAATAGAAATGTCATGAGTCAAAACCTCGGTCAAAACTAATAAATCCAGCTTAAAGAAACCAAAACCTTATTTTAGTAGGAAATTACTTAATAAAACATTTAATTTCTTTAAAAAATAATAAATTAAACACTTTATTGCATTGATACAATTTTAAAAATCGGTAATAAAATAATATTTTAATCGCTGTGTCTACAGACCCGATGCGGGACTCCAAGTTCGATCCCGACTGACGTCATAATTTTACGATAAAACTAAAACAAACCAAACAACCCAACCCAATACTTTTTAACAAAGGAATATTCATTTAATTACATTAATATATATTACTGTAGCAAAATGATGATAAGGAAGGGTAAATAATCTAAAATTAAATATTAATTCTGAGCGAAAGCCCTACCATCTGAGATACATTGTGTGACGTCAAATTATGACGTCAGTCGGGATCTAAGTTTAGTCCCGCCTCGGGAATCTAGACACAAGGTATTTTAATACAATCGTATAACTAAATAAAGAAGGAATCATCAATAAGATATGTTTTTAAAAATTCGATTATACGTTCCATCATATCGACATCGGTCATGCGCAATACCATCTCAAATATGTTACCATACATGGGGCCTACAATAAGAGCCTTAGTCAAAACTTGATTGTGTAAGACGTGTAGTTCTTGAAGCAAAGCCAAAGGCAATTTAACATAAGAACCAATAAGGCCATCTGCAGATTCCGAAAATATCTTCAACAAAACTTGTATCAATGGTTCCTTCTTGTTCATTTTATGTTCCCATAGTTCCAAAGCTCTATATAAAGTGTAGTTCGTGTTGAGATAAACGGTGTTCTTTTTAATTTTTAAGTAGGGTCCGAACGTTTCGTGCGTTAGGTTGCACAAGTGGTGTTCGTATTTGGTTACGTTGAGGCGTATTAGTTTTGCGAAAACTGTGGCAGCTAACTCAAAAGGGTACAGAACTTTTGAGATGTTGCCAGCTGTTTCATTTGACAGGGATACGTAGTCGTAACCAGAAGATAGCTCCAACATTCGCTGTGATGGGTTGCATGTTGCCAAATGGGCAAAGCCGAATAACTAGAAAACATATTAATATTATATTATTTGGTTTGTCTCTATAATAACTGCCATTAATTTGGATTATAGTGAGAGTGTTTTCAATTTTTAAAATTTAATGCTTAGTAACTACCTTTTAGAAAAACTAAACATTCAAAAAACAACCCAGTTGCGTCATAATATATTATGACGCTAAAGAAATCAACGAAATATTAATTTGTCCTTGAATCATAATTAAAATATAAAAATTAGAAAAACACAAAGTATTTTAGTTAGTTAAATATTTATGAATGGATTAAGTTTCATACATGGACATTAATTTTTGAAAAACTATTATATATTTAAAAGTTATTAATGTACCTAGTGCACGAAATTGAACTTTTGTGAGGACTATTTTATTTGAAATAATAAAATAAATTCTATTTATTATCAAAGTAAACAAAACGAATGTGACGTTTTGCATATCAGTAAAAAATGTCAAATTTTCTGAGACGAATGGTTATACCACATTTTATCTTCAAGGTACAGTTTTATTTGTTAAACGAAACATAAAACGTACTTGTAATTATAATAAAAAAATAATAATAAAAATAAAAAATAATTTCCTTTTACTCACCAAAATGGCAACTACGAATATCTTCATCTTGCCTAATTTAAACGATTATAAAGGTAAAATAATAAAATTCGTCTTCCTTTATAATATCATTAAATCTTATCTAAAGAAAAATTAAATAAAATAAATGTTGATTTAAAAATGTTCCTAGAAAAGTAGATTAGTAACTATTTTTTGCTATTAAATTTTATTAGTAAAAAATATAGTGGAAAAAATTAATTAATATATGGGTGAATCTCACGAAATGCCCCCCGATAATGATACCCCGTGATATTTAATAAAACTAAATGAGTTTGACCTACACTTTTATTGTGTTTTGATCTTTCATAATTAAGTAGATATTACAGCTCAGGTTCCAGATTTTTAACCGCAATGAATTATTTTTTCCAATGTTTTAGAAGTCTAAAACCTATCCTCCGTGACTGTTCTCTTTTTAGGTTAACCTATATGTTTTTAAATATCTGAGGTAGTAAAAGCTTACTAAAAATATCAGTTCACTAAGTAAATTAAACACATCCAATCGAATATAAAATATTATTAAAAATTAAAAGAAATAATTTTTATAACCATTTATGTAGGTGTTACAAAAATTGATTCCATCCTCCGTGAATCTGTTTTTGCTTTAAATTTTATGCAACGGATGGCGCTTTAATCATTTTAAATAAGCAAAATCCTCTGTTTACGACATTATAGAAGTGTTGCTGTTATATAATTCAAAAGTTTAAGTCCATTAATTTGCTATTTAAAAACCTATTCACCGTGAAGTGTAATATCTCAGTAAGTAGATTTTTTATAAATATTTTATGTATGTACAATTGAGGAGCATCCGTGCAAAACCGGCTAAATCCATTTTATTCAGTTTTTGTTTTTTTTTTATTTCGGATCTTTGGTTTCATTTCTAATAAAAATAGAAATTTTCTATCGACACCCAAGATAATTCTGTTTAAATCCGACTAAATCCATTTTAAAATCACATTTAAAAGGTAGCTTTAGGAGCAAAACCGGCCAAATCCACGTTTTTATAGCAAACCCGGCTATATCCAATAAATAATAATATGTTGCTTGGATATGTCGATACTACTACTAAAATTTGTTCTGTTTTTTCATGTTGGCACTAAATTTATTTTGTTAATGTTTGTGAATAATAAAGGTTTTTTTCCACATTTTATTCATTTTTTATTCGGTTTTCGAGCAAAACAGGCTATATACAAAACATTTTTAAAAATTTTGGCCTTAATATAAAGTTTTTAAAAACAAAAGTATGTCTTATAAATCAAGTACCACAAAGCCCACGAAAGTCAAGTTTGCTTTTTCCTTTATCTGTAAAGGCCAGGAAACCGAGAGTTTTTGCCATTTTCCCAACATTTTATTAAAGTGGATATAGCCGGTTTTGCACGGATGCTCCTCAATTGTATATTTAAAAAATATTAAAGTGTCAAAAGATACAATAACTTATTTCAAATATACAAAGGGATGTTTAAAAAAAAAACATACTAAATTCTAACCTCCGTGAAGCTATCTTCCGTGAAGATCTAATATTCAAAATGTATGATTTCTTAAAATTCTTGCATTACTGCAGAACAACTTATGTTATTACTAGACCTGGTTGCTTCCAAATAACCCCATTCTAGACTAACAGTGAAACAACCAAAAATAAAAAAATAATCATTTTCACTTGGGGGACATCTCAATATATTCGCCCATATCAAAAAATTTTATTTCATTTAAACAATTACTGTTCGCTCGTGAACCAAGAAATATTTCGATATCTCGTTTTAGTGGAAAAAATCAGGACTTAAAAAAGGACAAAAAAATAGACTTTTTGAATTAAAATTTAGTAAAAAACAAAAAATGTGTTTCGGTTCTACACCTCAAGTCATCGTCGACCGTCACAAACGTATTTCATAATATAAAATATTTTTTAATTAAATATATACATATAAAGAGTTTTTATTACTTGCGTTAAATAAATAAAAAAATAATTGTATGTGGCCGATAAGCGTTTCTATAATTGCACAAATATAGTTTTCCATTTTTTTATATAACTACCATGGCGCGCCCTAAGGTATTGGCAGCAATTTTCTGCGTAAGTATTTCGTTATTTATTTATTGGCAAAATATTAATATTGGTTTGTTTAGATTTGTTTTAATTTTGGATTAAGTTCAGGAGGGGTTTTAGACATACCGTCCAATGTACACAGTGTAAGTTTTGGCGAAACACCAAATAATGCAAACTCTGGATATAATCCTCAAAAAATTTATATTCACAATGATCAACAACAACCTTTAAACCGCGAAATCGGTCAACAAGGATTTAGGGGACAATACGACAATAACCCACCATTGATGCTTAAACAACAATCTGTATTTGCTGAGAACGGAAATGGAAGAACCAATGGACATAACCCCCTTGGACAACAAACTTTCACCCACAAAACGGCATATGGGAAAAGAAGTGAACGTTCAGGGTATAATGGAGTTGCTGGTACTAGTAATATTCACACAAATGGTCACATCAATGGTCACAACACCCTTGATAACCCTTATAATCTTGACTTTTCACAACCCCATCAACCAAATGTATTTAAAGAAAAAGAGCATGTGGAAAGCAGTGGGCTTTTAGGTTTTAATGGGGATGAACCAGGTAATAACCCCTATAATCAACAACAATATTCGGGTAACAATATCCGAAACACTAATTATGTTAGTATTGCGAAAAACGAGGGACACAACCTCAATAATGAGGTTGATTATTTACGACCTCAAGATACGGAAATCGAGATGCCTGATGAAAGTAATTCCAAACATGTTAAAATTACAAAAACCATGCATTCTAATAATCCTAATGGTAATTATGCAACAAATCACCTTCAATATTTAGGATCTCAACACCAATCTATATCCAATGGGGAATATGATGTGGGAACAGATGTTATTGGAAATAATCATTTTGATTATACTGAACCTCAACTTCCAGAAGACAAGAGACTTAAGAAACTTGCCAAACTAGGCAGACTTAATAATAAGAAATATCCTGGTGTGTCAGTAAAACAATCTCATTTTTCAAGAATAGAGGATAACAATAATCCTTCACTACAACCTTTATTTACCAAGGACTTTGATGGTCCACAAAATTTGAATTTTCCAGCAAATAATGTTGATGATGATGATAATAATGAACTTGGAAAATCGAACTTTCAGGCAAACAGTCTTTTTGATCAATTCAATCCTAATAATCAACCTAATAATCCTAATAGTAATTATGCAACAAATTCCCTTCAATATTTACCATCTCAACAACAACCTTTATCTCATGGGAAATATGATGTTGGAACAGATGTTATTGGAAATAATCCTTTTGATTATTCTAAACCTCAACATCAAGAAGACTATCAGCTTAAGAAGCTTAATAATAAGAAATATCCTGGTATGTCAGCAAAAAAATCTGAATTTACAAGAAAAGAGGATAACAATAATCCTTTACTACAACCTTTATTTACCAAGGACTTTGATGGTCCACAAAATCTGAACTTTCCAGCAAATAATGTTGATGATGATGATAATAATGAACTTGGAAAGTCGAACTTTCAGGCAAACAGTCTTTTTGATCAATTCAATCCTAATAATCAACCTAATAATCCTAATAGTAATTATGCAACAAATTCCCTTCAATATTTACCATCTCAACAACAACCTTTATCTCATGGGAAATATGATGTTGGAACAGATGATATTGGAAATAATCCTTTTGATTATACTAAACCTCAACCTCAAGAAGACTATCAGCTTAAGAAGCTTAATAATAAGAAATATCCTGGTATGTCAGCAATAAAATCTCAATTTACAAGAAAAGAGGATAACAATAATCCTTTATTTATCAAGGACTTTAATGGTCCACAAAATGTGAACTTTCCAGCAAATAATGTTGATGATGATGATGATGATAATAATGAACTTGGAAAACCGAACTTTCAGGCAAACGGTCTTCTTGATCAATTTAATCCTAATAATCAACCTAATAATCCTAATGGTAATTATGCAAAAAATCCCCTTCAATATTTACCACAACAACCTTTATCTAATGGGGAATATGATGTTGGAACAGATGTTATTGGAAATAATCCTTTTGATTATTCTAAACCTCAACCTCAAGAAGAGAATCAGCTTAAGAAGCTTAATAATATGTCAGTAAAAATATCTAAATTTGCAAAAAACGAGGATGAAAATAATCCTTTACTACAACCTTTATTTACCAACGACTTTGATGGTCCACAAAATGTGAACTTTCCAGCAAATAATTTTGATGATGATGATAATAATAAATTTGGAAAACCAAAAGTTCAGGCTAACAGTTTTCTTAACCAATTCAAAAAAATACCAAGTAACATAATGCAAATCTTAACCAAAAACCTAAGAGAATACAATTTATTAGAAGTTGCGAAAAACGTTATGTCGTTAGGTTTACCCCTTGGCATTAATTTGGCCGAAATCGAAAAATATATAAGAAATGTGTTGACGGGGCTGGAGGAACCCATCAAAAAAATTGGCAATGATTTAAGGGAAATTGAAAAAAATATAAGAATAATTTTCAAACAAGTTAAGAAAACAATAAAAAACACTATAATTAGTTTGGTGGAAAAAATAAAAAAAGATTTAGCGAAAATTGTTACAAATATCATAAATAAATTGAAAAGGTTAAGAAACATTATTTTAGGAGCTGTCGAAATGTTAAAGAGTTATTTCGCAGACATTCTATCTAGTTTGGCAGTTAACATATTTAAAATTAAAAGAAATATTTTGATATGGTTGAGGGCACGCATCGCTAATTTAATGTTTCAAAACCAATCAAGCCGTTGTATTGTCAAAGCTTTTGGAAAAAATTGGAATACCTTCCTTCGTATGTTTGATGATGTTTTAAAGTTTGACCAAAGTATTGTTGAAGAGTTTGTAAGATGCGATAAAAAACTGAATGGAATGATAGATAAGTTCCCAAAAGTCAATTATAAAAATAATGAAACATTGTAAATAGTGATAACATTTAATTATTTTGGGGAAATAAAGTCTATTATACATAACGTTTGTTTTTATCTTGGTTATTTAATTTAATTGTATACCCAATGGAAAAACAGAATCAATTATATAATATAGAAGACCTTCTACTGGTCCAAGTATTAAAGATCCAACAGGGTTGGCGGCCAATTTCACAACACCTTTTATATACATTTTCAACAGCATGTTTATGGTTTTGGATATTTGGGCCCATATCCAGTCCATGAGACTGACATCGCCATCTTCTGGTGCAGATGGGTCAATGTCCCCATTATCCCCATTGCCATCGTTCAATGTAAGTTGCCTTAAAGCTTTTTCTTCTTGCCTAAATATATTTTTGAGTATGTTAAACAGTTCGTCAATGTTTCCCCATTTGATGTCTTCAAAAATGAGGTCTAGCGTTTGAACGGTATCATCTAAAATTTGTTGTAATCGCTCGACCAAGAGGTTTACAACTCGGTTAATTATTGATTCCAGATCATATTTGGGTTGTCCATCTTTATATAAACCTCTCAAAAGTTTTGTTATATCGTCATAACCCTTTAAGACTGCTTCTTGTAGGGGGTTAACCGAATCTGCTATGTCATTGTGGTATAGTTGTAATATTATCTCAAGTGTTATTTTTGCTGTTTCCTCGATGATTTGATCGAAAATTTCCAGTGTAACAAGGGATCTCCTATTTCTAACGTGAAATGGAATACTTTGGTTTTCCATGATATTTCTCAATATCGGTCTGTATAGTGTCAAAAATTCTCTGAGGCTTCTCCTTACAGTAACTTGCACATAGAAGTTGTTATTGAATTTATCCTCCAAAATTCTGTTTACGACGTTAATACAAATCTTTTCCAATATATCATAACTAACCTTGACATGGTCTTCCTTTATATACAAAACTTCCTCCCCAACTATTTCGTTCAAATTTCCCACCGCCTCTCTTGAACCGCCCTGTAGATTTCTAATCTCGCTCTCGATGACCTCCAAGTCGTGCCCATTGGACTCCAAGTACAACTGTATGGAGGATTTAAATTCTCTGAATAAATTGGCAAAATTACGCCCTAATTTTCTACGAATACCTTCGAAAAAAGCTTTTGAATTCTCCTTACTTAAAAGTTGGTGACTTATTTTTTGTATTTCTTGAGTATCTTTAGAATATGCCGCCTTTATTAGCCGTATGTTCACAGGGTCTTGTACAGTATCCTCTCCTAGACACGCTATTGTTAAAGCCTAAATAAAATATTCTGTTATGTTTTTTTAAATATTTGTTTTGCCACTTACGGCTAGTATAAACACAGCACTTAACTTCGTCATTGCAAATTACGAATAATTTTAATTTTCAAGAAAGTTTAGTTTTATCTTTAAAAAGTAATCCTGTAAAAATACTTCTCATTTTTGTTTGATGTTTTTTTGTTTTATCTCTTGTTTAAAAACTTGTTACGTAGTCATATTTACTTGGTAAAGCTTTATAAGTCATTTTTATTATTTAGATAGAATGTGTTACCGTATTAGATTTGTCTTGTTATTGTTTTATTAATACAGGGTTTTCTAAAAATGGCTCATACAAACTTTTTTTGCGGTAAAGGATTAAAATTAAAACGAAGAGAGGCTAGTTTTTAAAGTTCATGCCACTGAAATTTTTTCTAAACAATTTTTTTTTAAATTTTGAACTACCTTGCGAATCTGTCCTGCTTTTGTTCATACAATTTTTTAAATATATACTATAGCATACTGTGCGAATAGGCTCTTGATTCCATTTTATGGCCATAAAATAGAATCAAGAGCCAATCTCAAAATAGGACTGCTTTCAGTCCTTTAAATATATCTGTGGTGTATGCATATACCTATAACTCTAGGTATATGGGTGTATTGCCATACACTGTATGGGTCCTAATATTTCTTATTAAAAAAATAATAAATTGAGACAGCTGCTATACATAGAACTATATTCATAAATAAGAACTTAAAATAACAAAAATTAACAGAACTTTTTTTAATTACATAAATATAATGTCACTTGGAAAATAGATTTTTTTATTGTGAAAAATGTCTCCTTCGGCAAATGTCTCTTTTGTCACACTGCACTGCTATCGCTACGACATTAAAACTTAAAAATAAGAGACTCTTTAAGCGAAACTTTACTGCTAAGAGTAACATTAAAAATTGTGTACCGGTGTAATCTATATTTTGTAGATTAAACCTGTAATCCGTTAATCTACGGATTCATCCTGCTACTAGGGTTAAATAAGATTTTTTACGGGGGACAATTAAAACAGCATTGTTACATATCGGACAAAATTTGTTTTTAAATTTATATTTATTGTGCAATGAAATGCTCTTCATTTTGTAAGGAAAATGTATTTTTTGTTTACTCCATAGAAAAATAATTTACTCCGTATTTTATTTCGCTAGTTATAATTGGAAGGTAAAAATAGCATAGCTAAACTCTCGGACGCGTAAACTTAATCTTTGGTCGTATATTTACAAATCCGTGCTTGGCTTAGCTGGATCAGGTCTTAAAACGGTTTCCTAATAAACAGTGGAAATCCGAATGAAGAAATAAATTGCATACAATTGTACCTATTAGACGGTAAAAAAAACGGGTATTGTATTATGTATTATTTATAATATTATGTTGCCATGTCGTTGACTATTTTAAAATGCAGATTTTTTTTAGTTGACCTAAATATAAAAATGTTTGATTTTAAGGTTATGTTTGTACTATTATTTTTTGTTAAATTTCTTAAAAAATTGGCAAAACATAAAAAAGCAACGATTTAGTTCTTGAATTATATTTACAATTAAAAACACAATAATTTACCATATTCACTTGGATAAAATAGACACACTAACGTGGCTATGTAAGCATAATCTTATAATATAAGGAATAACCCGATGCTTTTTAGCGTATTGTAAGACTCATAAGTCTATATATATAGAAAGACTTTTATTAATATTAGTTCAAAAGTCAAATGATTATTAAACTCCGTACAGAAATAAAGCTAAAATGTCATTATGTCAGTTGAACACACCACATTTTTACGATATAGTATATTACACTACAAGGGCAGAAAGTGTGAGATTCCTGCACTGCGCGCCATGATGCCCGAGGCGAAGCCGAGGGCATCATGGCGCGCAGTTCAGGGCTCTCACACTTTCTGCCCGTGTAGTGTATACTATTTTTCTTGCTACCCCGCAGAAAATACGGGAAAAAATTAAATGTATATAAAAAAACTTGTGTCAAAATTAAAATCTGACGTTTAATTTAATTCTGACGTTTACATTCAAAATCAATCAAACTGTAGCGTTGTCATGGTAATTCAGCGGTGCCAATACAGTAAAAATAAAAGGTTGTATTTTAATTAACAAATTACTAATTTATAACAAATAAAAGTACCATTAAACACTTAAAACAACATAAAAAGTAAAAAAGTAAAAACATAAATTGTTTATTTGTTGTTATAATTGCAAAATTATGGTTTAAAACTGTCATATTTTTGTGTTTCTCATGTTGGCAATACGAAATTTGAATGTTAAGCACACGACTAAAAAATTTTACTCCCGCTATTAGAGTGTGCGCGTATAGTTTGACCAATGCAAGAAACGTAAACTTTCTGCCGTGAAATCGGGGACGAAACAACGTATTTTGAGTCGAGGTAGTAAGAAATAGTATATTACACTACAAGGGCAGAAAGTGTGAGATTCCTGCACTGCGCGCCATGATGCCCGAGGCGAAGCCGAGGGCATCATGGCGCGCAGTTCAGGACTCTCACACTTTCTGCCCGTGTAGTGTATACTATTTTTCTTACTACCTCGGCCGAAAATACAATCCGGCCGAAAATACGGGAAAAAATTAAATGTGTATTTATGTACCTATCTCCATTTGAAGAGCTTGATAAATAAATAACAGTAGGCCGTGAATTCAGCGGTGCCAATACAGTAAAAATAAAAGGTTGTATTTTAATTAACAAATTACTCATTTATAACAAATAAAAGTACCATTAAACACTTAAAACAACATACAAAGTAAAAAAGTAAAAACATAAATTGTTTATTTGTTGTTATAATTGCAAAATTATGGTTTAAAACTGTCATATTTTTGTGTTTTCTCATGTTGGCAGTACGAAATTTGAATGTTAAGCACACGACTAAAAAATTTTTACTCCCGCTATTAGAGTGTGCGCGTATAGCTTGACCAATGCAAGAAACGTAAACTTTCTGCCGTGGAATCGGGGACGAAACAACGTATTTTGAGTCGAGGTAGTAAGAAAAAATTGTTATTAAAAAAGTGACGTTATGAAATTAATATTAAAAAAAAACAGTTTTTGGGCTTTAAAATTCATTTTTGCAATAAAACTTCGATTATAAAATGTTAAGATGTCATAATAAAAGCTTTATTGCAAAATATTAATTTTGTGGGTAATTTTTTAAACCATCACGTTTTTATTTAAATTTTACCGTAAAACTGTGTTTTATTGTACTTAAAAGCGGTTTGTGGTTTAAAAATGCATTTTTATCGACTATCGTACAAATTCCCAAAATTAAAGAATTTTGAGCAAGTCTAATAAATTGGCCAGGGACTGTATAGTTTGCTTTAATATTACTTACTCATTTTTAAACTATTTATTACATTTTAAGACCTAATTTATTGTTGTGCAATTTTACGAAATAATTATGCTATAAAGATAATTTATAATGCATTTTTGAACTAAGCACGTACGCTTTTATTTTACTTACATTAAAACAAAAAATAATTATATTTATTTTACGAATAATAAAATGTTTATTTAAATATTTCCCCAATTTGATCACTACAAAATTGTACCTTCTTATTTGTTAAATTTCTTATTTTTAGTAATTTTTTTATAAATATGGTTTTCATTTTATTCAATAATACAAAAAAAAATTGAAAAGTCAATTTTTATTAAACTTTACTTCAATTATTAAATTTAAATATGTATTATATTTTCAGCGCAGCTTATGGTGAAAAAAAACTTAATTTGTGCGATTTAGTAGGCAGGTTCTGTCAATTTCTCCTATTGAGTAGGCTCCATTTCTGCAAAACTTATGTAGATATCATAATATCATTAAATGATTTTTACAATGCAAATACCCACCTATTATACAGGGTGTCCACAAAGGGTATGGGGTATTTGTAAATTCAATAAAAATAAAACTACAAGTCAGAAAAAAATATTTTTTTTTGAATTTTTAGACAAAGTTTTGGAAAATTAAGTCCCAAAGATTTTGTTGTCCAAATGTTGACCCTCGCGCTGCTGGCATTCCTCTAACCGAAAACGGAAATTAACTATCACTCGTCTACTCAAATCTCTGAAAACAACGGCCATTTCGTTGCGGATGTTGTGCTTCTATTGCAGGAGAGTTCGTGGTCTATTTTCATAAACTTTCTCTTTAAGGTATCCCCATAAAAATAATCAAGTGATGAAGGAATCATTGGGCCTTACATTTTTGAAGAACGACGAGGGCTAGCACTTCCGGTAAACAGGTTAACCGTTCACTGCAGTGAACGGTATTGCGACATGTTAAACTTTTTGTTTCCACAACTGCAGAAGTTTGAAGGTTTTAATGTGGAAACATAGTTTCAACAACATAGGGCCCTTTGCCACCCCTTAAATCAGTCACTTAAGGTTTTCAATCAAATTATCCCGAAAAAAGTGATCTCTCGACGTTGCACCATTAACTGGCTTCCGAGAAGCGCCGATCTTACACCATTCGATTAGTTTTTTATGAGGAAATCTTAAAGATAAAGTTTATAAAAACAGATCACGATTTTTTCTGCACAAGATCCGCACTGAAATGGCCGCTGTTTACAGAGATATGTGTAGAGGCGCAATAGTGAATTTCCGTTTTCTGTTAGAGGAATGCCAGCAGCGCGAAGGTCAACATTTGGACAACAAAACTTTGTCTAAAAATTAAAAAAAAATATTTTTTTCTGACTTGTAGTTTTATTTTTATTGAATTTACAAATACCCCCTACCCTTTGTGGACACCCGTACTTATTTTAAACTTACGGTGTTAGTAAAAAAACGTGTACAAAATTAGCATTAAAGGTCTTAAAGGTGTTGATTAAATGATAAAACTTAAGTTGAGTATTATTATTACTTTACACATTGATCTAATTTAAAATACACCTATTAATATTTTTAATATATTAAAATGTATGTTTGATATAAGTTATATCACTTATTTTTA